CAATACTGAATCTACAGAGGCACTGTGAACTCGGCCCTATGTCCGTAGCCAACAATGTCACAGGTTCAAGAGGGCAATTCTGGCTTTTGCAATACGTGAACTGATTTCAGTGCTTATGCGCCCATCATTGATGATGTAGATGACGAGGTAAGTGAAGTGATCAAATATCTCTAGTTCCTCGCCATCAAGGGTCAATTGGTCATCAAGTGGCTGGTAGTCCTGCAACAACACTTTGAAGGTGCGAAGCGCATGACAAATAATGGGACCACTCTTGTGACGTTATTTATGATTCATTGTGTAACCCCAGCACTGTTAAACAGCAAGGCAATATCGTCCGCATAATCAAGGTAAACCAGGTTTCCACCAGACAGCACCTTAACGCCTGCACTGAGATTCCGAATGATGAAATCCACAACGAAATCGAACAAAAATTGGGAAATTGTACAAGTTTGACGAATGTCACTTGTCACCATCATCACAAATAACACATGTTAGCCGAGGGTAAAAAACAGATCTCACCTAATGCGCCGAAATACAAACAATAAAAGAGACTAAACGTTACAGACTACAAAAGCTAGGAAATTAACAGAATGCTAAAATCACATTATGTATTGGGTTGAGAAGTTGTTGCAGCGGGAAGCTAAAGGGGAGAGGAGGGACAAAGAGACTCACAACACAAACGCTACTGAGGTTGGTTCCTCGCCGTGTCAGCTAGTGCATCGAACCAAACATGTTCATCGTCCTTCGGACGCAGCCAAGTAGCCGGTAAACACCAACCGACACCACTTATTGTAGGAACGATATCCGATAAGTCACCATAAACCCTGATACGGCCTGTTGTGTTATCTTGTACTTACAGATAGCCAGGAGTTTTATTCTGGATTCCAACAGGCTCACCGGTCTCTGGGATATCCAGTGACTGGTGCGGTGACGATGGATAGTGCCACAAGCAGATGCTCCTGCGTCGTGCATGGCGGCCGAGATCCTATTCCACTGAAGCTCAGTGTCATTAGGACAAGAATTCGAAAATTCGGCACGCACTGCGTCTTGATAGGCTTACCTGACCGAGAGCTGAGACAATTTCTCAGTTGCCAATCGGAGGGGACGGTTGGTGCGCTTCCCGGTAAAGTTCATGGAGAAACGACAGCGTACTAAGGCATGATCAGAATCGACGCAGGTATTCCAGTACGAGCGGCAATCCAGGATGGAACCACGCCACCTGTAACCTATAAATATGTGGTCAGTTTGGGTCCATCGGTGGCCAGCTACAGGGGAACGCCAAAAGGCATTTCAGCGCCCACCGTGTTCAAAAGCAGTGCTACTAAGAAACAACTGGTGCTCCGCACACAGTTGTAGTAGACGCTCACCGTTGTCAAACCGCTCAGAGTTAAGTCCACATTTACCACCTAGCTGAGCTTCTGAAGAGCTCAGACGCCCTACTTCTGCGTTCATATCCCCTGCAAGTACTACTGAAGTAGTAGCACTTCGTAATAGCGCGTTCAGTTCGTGATAGAATGTCCTTGACAGCATCAGAACGGGAGTCGGCGGGGGCATAAGCAGAAACAACAAACAAACGGCGTCTTGTACTACTTCATGAAGCAACATTTGTTGATGTCGTCAAACGGGCTGCACACAAACGGCTGTTCATGGGAGTCCAATCAACTGACGACGACTCATCTTTGGAGCAGAGTACGGTGTACACACCAGCTTCACCAGTGATTGCCGCATCAGCGTCTCTGGATGAGTGAAACCAATAGTGAGAGGACAAGCCAGGCACAATTTATTCAACAACCCCGTAAAGGGTCATTGATCCTAGTTTCGGACACGCAACATGCGTCAATATCCATGGTGTCCAACATGCGGGCGAGTGCAGCCCGTTGACAGACTGGTCTTAGAGTGCGAAGGTTTAACACCGCCAGGAGAAAGGGACAGCGTGGCCGTTGCCGATGGGCGTCTAGTGTGTGGTGTGGGAAGGTAGCTGCAGTAGGTTCTACTCCAGTGGCATTGCGGCTGCTGTCAATTAAGCTGGAAATTATGGAAGGAAGGTTAGTAATGGGAGTTTGGAGAGGAGTAAGATAAATAGGTGGAAAATAAGGAAGGGAGGCGCCAGTAGTAGCATGTTTCCGCTTATCTGCCCTGCTGGATGCATCAGATAAAGCAACCCTTGATAAACTACGCGATGGCCAATGCAGGATGTGGTTGAGGTTTGAAGAAATAGCCTGTCGACCAATATGACGGCGTGAGGACGTTGGATGAAAAAAGATTGGAGCGTACCCCAGGTTTGCAATATGGCGTCTTCATGGCTTGTGCAGCTGACACATTCAATCGTGGTCACCTGCCGCCTGACATGAGGCGATATTCGAAAATGATGGAGACAACCACCGACCACGGGATCCTGAGAACAAAAAACACTCTCTGGTTGTCCATATGAAAAGAGATTTTGTTCGAGGACAATTACCTCCAGCCTTTATTCTTAGTTTGACTCACAGTCGGTGAAAAGTAGGTTCCATACGGTCACGCGATGGTAGTTCAGTTAGGAGCTGCATGAAGCCGACTAACAGTAGCTTTTGGGGATGAAGAAGCGAAAGAAGTCACGAATGCTTTCAGATCGCAGTAAACTAAACGTCCGCTGTAACGATCAACCGCACATGAGTATTGTCGAATTTGCACCCTTATTGACTAGGGGTTAACTTGACTTGAAGAAAACGATGACAGACCAGTGATCACAAGTGGCGCACTTCCACTGTCACAGAGAACCAGAGGCGTTAGCGCTCTTTGCCAACTGATCTGGGTTTATAGCCCTAAATTGCAGCCATTCATTATTCATTCTTAAGAGGAGTACCGATTTTTCCCAGCTTCCAATGTGGATAATGTTTTAGAAGCTGGTGGAATGTAGAAGACGATAACCAAATGATTTGGAAAGAGGATCAATTAGTCAAATCCTGCTCAACCGCCCTGTCCCGCAGGTTCTTGAATCAAACGTGACGGAGGAGTAATTCGGATTCCATTCGGGTCTAAGTACCATAGACATGGTGTTCGCGGCCTGTCAACTGCAGAAAAAATGTAAGCAAAAGCACCCATTGTACTCGCCGTTTGTGGACTTTACTAACGCATTTGACACAGCAAACCGCAAGGCAATGGGGTTGGTGTGGGGTAACTTTGGTTGCTTAGGCAAGTTCGCTCGACTGGGTTAATTCTTTTAAAGAGGTATGCTGGCGAGGGCGCAGTTGTGTGGACAAATCTCGAGTGAGTTTAATGTTGACTTTGTTGCGAATCAAGACAGTGTCTTAGCCCCCGTACTGTTTAGTATTTGCCTAAATGCTTTGGATTTCGGCGTACGACTCAAACATCGTATTGATGGTAGGTCGCTGAACATCCATGATTCGAAGCGGTAGTCCCAGTGAAGACGATCGCGCGTTGTTTGCACACAGTGAGAATGAATTGCAACGTAGGACGACAGCTCTCGTTTCAGCGGCGGCCAAGTTCGGACACACTATCAAGACAAGTAAGACTGTCTTTTTCAGCCATGAACATCAAGATTGCTGATTTAGTTTTGGGGACTATATGAAAATTCTTCTACGTCGAGAGCATAGTGTCAACGGACCTGCAAATGATCAGTGAGGTGCGCACAAGCGTATCGAAGGCATGTGCGGCTTTCGGCAAGATGGAACATCGTTTTGGAAGAACGGTCAGCTGAATTTTGGTACCAAGCGGATGGCATACAAATCATTGAAGCTGGTGGTTCCCTACAGCAGCAAAACACGGGTACTTTACAAGAGAAACTTCCGCTTTTTGAAACCATTTCACTAGCAGTGCCTGCATCCGGTCCTACACATCTGGTGATGACAGAATTCCAGGTACGAAGCTTCGCCGGAGCGGCGTGTACGGAACGGATTGCATGCAATTATTGCGACAACGGAGGTGGATGGGACATGTTGCTTTTTGCTGGGGGGACGGGATGCACAGTCTTTATGAAAGTGCTAGGCTCAAACAGTAGTTACAACCAATGTGAAATGGGATAGGACGCAGACCCCACACTGTGTACCTCTGGTATGCATGTTTCCATCTCTAAAAATGAATGATGTGGACCAGCACCGAAACAACCGTGGCTCCAATCCACACATGCCTTTCATTCTTATTCCCTCGGCTTTACCTTAGATATGTGGTGTTTGGACGGAGCTGTAGGTGGTGCAAATCAGACGACCTGTGGTCCTCCAGTCGGCGTAGACGTCCAGTTGTTGTTTGCAGTCTCAGCGACAGGCAGTTCGGGAAATGGATGCAGCTAACCAACAATATAACACTCGGATAATAGTAGAGCAAATGACAGTGCAGCAATGAGCGGGGCTACAACGTCGGAGTCCTGAAGGCCGAAAAAAGGTTAGAGACGATCATGGACGCGGGTTATAAATTAAATGTTTCGAGCATCAAAAATCGAAAAGATCAAACAAGTGTGATGGGAGGTGATTCTAAACTACTGGCAAAGAAAACATAAAGGATAAGAATTGTTAATATGACACATTAAAGACGAATATATGAGCATATCAAAAAGCGGTAAGACAGTGGGACACAGTTGGGAATTTTTGATAAATGTGTCTAGTAAGTCCAAGTTAAATGTGAATTGTCAATCGAGTTGGTATGCGTCAAGTTCTAGCTCCGAAAGAAATAGCACAGAAAGTATATGGAGGCAGCAGCAGCAGCAGCAGCATGGTTGTGTGGTAAACGCGCTCCGTCAACCGAGATGTAACGTATGTTGGACGCTGAACAGTTCTCGCTGCGTTGCAACGTTACGTTTATGCTGAACAATAGCATTTCCATAGGCTCAAAAGCTGTGAATCAGTAATAGTATCACGAGGTAACGTTGAGGCCATTATAAAGAACAATGCAAAAGAAGAAAAAACAGAGGCAAAGTTGAAATTGGTGTCATATGCAATGTCATACAATTTTGAGAAACAAAAGGAAATTGGCTAACTATCAATTCCGATGATACCCAGAAGACATACCGAGTTCCATAGGATCGTCGCATTGAACATTGTCTTCGGAAGTCCCCAACATAAGTTGTGGATTCATATTGGGAGTTGCCTCCGTGAAAAACCCCTACAGATAAAAAATAAAAGTAACAGGGAGTCATAAAATAAAAAAATCCAAATCAACCATTCTAACAGATCTAAGCTTACCTCAGATACAACTGCAAGTGGTGGATGTGTGGGTTGAACTGACGATGCAACAGGCAGCGAACCTGAGGCCCCGAATTGGGATGGTAATCCCGGTAGTGAACCGAAAGTCGTTGGGACAGCAGGAACCCAGTAATTGGCAGCAACAATAGGTACGGCGGAAGCTAGTGGCAACGTGGGAGGTGGGGGTGGAGGGGGAGGCGGTGGTGGAGGCGGTGGAGGTGGCGGTGGAAGTATTGTGTGTGGGGTAGGCAGCATGGAACCAAATCCGTAGACAAGCGAAGTACCAACTGTGTTAGTAGATCCCAAATGAGGTACGGGTGGTTGAGGAACATTCGTTTCCGCAAATCTGCGTGACACATTCATGGAGCTGGGAGGAACCACAGATGAAGAGAACCTCGTCCCCGATGTGGCAGTATGCCGAAATTTTGTATGATCTTCGTAAGTAACTCCGAGGGATTCGCATACTACTTTCTTTATCTGATGCTGAAAAGTATTCGGTAGCTTCGATCGTATGGCGTTATTGACAACGTTATTGACACCTATACTGAGCATTGTCGTGCGTGACAGTTCGCCACGCAAGCGTTCCCGCAGTCGCAACCTTTCGGTTTCCGCCGGTTTCGTCTGACTTCGAAGGAAACCAGATACAAAAGAAGCCACTTTCTTCTGTAGCGCTACGTATTCAGGATCAGAATCAATGTCTTCCAAGCACTGCTTTCGAATTCTATCAAACAGACCCTGGCTCTTCAGCCGATCAATGATCTCACAAGCTGCTTTCATTGAATCATACTGCATTACTAGACTACGGTCCTAAAAAGAAATTAAGAAAACGAAAGCAGCAGTAGAAAAATGTAGGCAGTGCTTCTGAATGAGCAGGCACAAAAGCTACGAAAATAAAAGGAATATCGTTTGTCAAAAAGACATACATCTTATCCTACTGCGATGTAGAAAGAAAGGCATCAGCAGTACGTCGGTGCACCGCACCGAGGCTTGGCTGCCACGCGACGATCACCAGTCAAGCGTGCGCTGGGTATGCTGCGAGGTCACTCGCATTCATACGGATTAGAACAGGTGATCTCTGGATCACAAAACCAGTGCGGAAAACTTCTGGTCATCAGTGGCGCGCCAGCTGCCATCTAGTCGGAATGCCAGTTCAACGTGTCTGGTGCTCAGTTATTTGGGGGTATGTATGTATGTGATATCAACTGTCTAGCAACTAGACATAGAGCCAATAAAAACCATAGAGATCAGTGGATAAGAGGAAGTCATCGCGTCATAATCATCGTGGCATAGTAGTTAAAGGTGAGTAACACACTTCAGCTACTATGCCGCAGGAAGAAAGGACTACTTTGACAAAAAAGAACATTTTTGGTTTGTTTTACACACGCCAATTTTTCTATTTTTACTATTTTTAATGTTTGAAGTATTAAACATGTGAATCAATACAATACTGTATACAACTCTCTCACTGATTCCGGTTGCGGGGCATGTCTTCAAGAGTATTAAGCCATTGGCACCCCTCATCTTTGGGTCCCCACCCTGGAAAACGTACGGGTTCAACGGCGACTAGATACGACATCAGCAATTTCATGTGATGTCACCAAGTGGAAGGCTGACCACCACGCAGACATCTCCCGCCAGGTACTTGACGAAGGAACAGAGCGCGACGCGGTAGATGACCAGGTGCCATGCGTAGGACGTGACCAAGGAATCTCAACTGGCACAGCAAAACCAGTTTGTTGAAGGGTATACTTGCATTTCCCAAGACGCGACGTCGAACGTCATTACTGTTAACTCGATATTGCCAACAAACACGAGCAATCCTCCTTAAGTAACCGTTATCGAAGGCAGAAAGACGACACACGTCTTCCATGCGAATGGGCCACGACTCGCTCCCATACAACAACACCGAGCGAACAGATGCGCTGTAAACGAGACCCTTTGGCGAGAATGAGACGTCGCGACGACGCCACAAGTGCCTCAGATTGACAAATGCTGATCGAGCTTTAGCGATACGAAGAGAAACTTCTTTGTTGATAGTGCCGTCAGCAGAAACACAGCTCCCAAAGTAGACGAAACTATCTATCTGTTCAAGTTGTGCACCTTCGAGAGCGAGCACGGGAGCAGGTGTAGACTAATCCTGGAGCAGTACTTTACACTTCGAAGGGGCGAAGCTCATGCCATATTTAGATGCTTCAAGCGCCAAAGGATCCAGAATAAGTTGCATATCCTGAGGATGGTCAACAAGTAAGGCGATATCATCAGCATAATCTAAATCGGACGCGCGCTCACATGGTAGAAGCTCTAGGCCAAAATCTTGGAAACTTTCTAGAGCACTCGACAGAACGTCTTAGATTACGAAGTTGAAGAGGAATGGGGATATATATATATATATATATATATATATATATATATATATATATATATAATGTCTTGGAGTGCGAACGTTGAACGTCGCCAAGCAAACGGGACAGCGTGGCCTTGTAAGAGACGGTTGCGGATAGGCGTAAGATGAGTGTTGCGGGAAGTTGGCTGCAGATACCGTGACTCCAATGGCATTTCGATTGCTGTCAATCTGGGAATTATGGGAGGAAGGTTAGCAATGGAGGTCGGGATAGGAGTAAGAGAAATCGGTTGAAAAGAAAAAAGCGCCAATGGGAGCATATTTTCGCTTATCTGCGCTGCAGTATGCAGCGACGGCCGATGTATTTAGAGTGTTGAGAAATTGTCATGGTTGTGCGTGAGCTGAGATACTGCCAGGACGCCCAGACTTATATATATATATATATATATATATATATATATATATATATATATATATATATATATATATATATATATATATATATATATATATATATATATATATATATGGCTGGCGGCATCCGGTTTCGGATTTGCCTGTCACTGTGGCAAGCCACAGGACGCCTGTGCCTACAGAGGGACCATGGATGACTTGCGCTGCACCACCCACAGCTCCAACCACACACCCCATATCCAGTGTAAACCCGAAGGAATAAGACCGGTAGGCATGTGGATGGGAACCACGTTTCATCAACGGAGCCGGTCAACACTTCACAGCAAACATAAGCACGCTGTATTTGGGAATCAATCGCACAGAAGGTGGTGGCTGGACCGTAGTCCGCTCCACACTGACTGCATGGAACCACTCTTTGGTCCTAACACGGCCACAAGAACCGTGCACCCCGTCCCCTCCAGCAACGACCAACTGTCTCCTTGAGACAGTATGGACGAGGTAGTGGGTAATAGACAGGTAGGCACCTTGTCAACATGCATATCAAGCGCAGCCTCACCGGGGATATCAAGCAACAGTCAATCACTTGAGAGAAAGATAACAAAGAAAATAAGTCGAGTAATGGATAAGGAAAGGGTGACATATATCTTAAAGTAATGAGCATCTGAAGTAAATTGTTTACAGAATAATGTGAGATAAGTTCACGAGGTCAGAAAGTATACTTTACGGAAATGCCACGAACAGAAAAATGTTTCCGAAAAGGACTCGAATTGGCTTAAGTGACGTGTGCAAGTTTATAGAAGAAAGTACGGGTAGACATTTATATGAGGAAGCAAAGCATTGGGACAAAGTTGAAAACCCACCACCTGAAATAAACGGACTTAGCACGCAAGCAAACGGCGACATAAATCTTAAATTAGTGAACATATGAAATAAGTTGTTTACAAAAGAATACGAGGTAAGTTCACGAGGTCAGGAGGTTTATTTTACGGAAATGCTACAAGCAAGAAAATGTTAACGAAATAACTACAATTGGCTTAAGCGACGTGTGCAAGTGTATAAAAGAGTGCAAAGGCGGACATTTATATGGGAAAGAAAAGCATTAGGGCAAAATTGAAAACCTACCACCTGAAATAAAGAGACTTAGCATGCAAGCACGCGGTTAGTAAATCGAATGCAGCGTACCTACAAACGCTGCGCCGGTTCTGCCTACGTTCTCTGCAGGACCCGTCGGCGCTTCGGTAGTAGTCCCGAGTGGCCTCGCTCATTGCTCACTAGGCCTGCCTGACTCAGGCACTCCCGACCACATGTGATACAGCACAATGCACTCGATGTCGATGGAGAACAACCCATCGGTACTTGCCGCTTCTTCTCTGCATGTATGAGGTTTTCTCCCGCACTTCAGCAACTGCCTCCGTGATCAGATCGCGCCATGCACGCCGATCAACCGCCTTCGATTCCCATGACCTGCAATCAAGATTAGAACGTGTGAGGCTCACTTCCATCATGTCCTGGTAACGTAACTTTGGTTTCCCCACGTGCCGCTTCCCAATACTCAGCTGACCAAATAAGAGTTGCTTCGGTATCCGAGTCGAATCCATACGCCACACATGACCAGGCCATCTCAGGTGTTTCAGTAAAAGTATGCAGTCCACTGCATACATTCCACTTCGGTGCAACACTTCCATGTCAGCGACTCTGTCGTCCCAACCGATGCGCAAAAGTCGTCGTAAACACTGCTGATGGAACCGCTCGGGATATCGCACATCCCGATGGTACATCGTCCACGTTTCACTGCCGCATAGAAGAACGGACAACACCATGGATTTGTACACCATCAACTTCGTGCCAATGGTAAGCTGATGGTTGTTCCACAGTCGGTACTCAAGCTTCCCGAATGCCGCCGCTGCCTTCGACAAGCGGATAGGAAGCTCACTGTGTATCTGCTGATCAGTCGATATCACACTCCCAAGGTAGCTGAAGCGGGAGGTGGTTTCCAATACTTCAGCACCAATGCTGATTCGCAGCACCATTGTAGATTGCACCTCCGGTGAAGGCTGAAAGAGACAGACAGTTTCGCTTGTGTTGATGGTGAGCCCGAATTTGGCCGCTGTCGAAGCCAGAGCACTAGTCATGTGCTGCAACTCATCCGCGCTGTGTGAAAACAACGCACAGTCGTCAGCAAACAGCAACGTACGGATAGTCGGCTCACAAACTAGAGTTCTCGCACCGAAACGACAGATGTTCAGCAACCCACCATCAATACGGTGATCCACACGAACACCGTAAGCACAAGCGGCATCAAAAGAACAAGACAACATTGCATGAAGATATATATTAAACAGGGCAGGAGCTAAGACACAGCCTTGCTTCACATCAGTGACAACTGCAAAGTCATCCGAGGTCTCTCCACTCAGCTGCACCCTCGCTCGCATGCCACTGTGCAGACATTCAATTCAACTTACAAATTTACGCGGGAAACCAAACTTACCCAACACCAGCCACAATGCCTCGCGGTTCACCGTATCAAATGCCTTGGTGAAATCAATAAAAAGCGAGTACAATGGCTGGTGTCGTTCACTGCAATTCTCCTGCAGCTGACGAGCCGCAAACACCATACCTATAGTGCTGCGACCCGAACGGAATCCACACTGCTCTTCCGCCACGTTAGGTTCCACGACGTGACTGACGAGGCGGTTGTGAAGGATTCGGGCAATCACCTTGCCCACACAACTCAGCAAGTTGATGCCACGATAATTCGTGCAACATTGCTTGCTACCTTTGCCCTTGTACAGTGGTAGCACAAGGGCATATATATATATATATATATATATATATATATATATATATATATATATATATATATATATATACTACTCAGCTTATTGACAGGAACGCCTGGAAAACCAGGCGGAATAAACTGCATTACGCACATTTTAAACCACTGAAAGTCGTCCAACGTGCGTTCAGCAGAAATGACAACAGTGGATTCAGGTGTTTTACTGAATATAGCAATACTATCCGTGAAAGAATCATCACAACGGGATGTATTTGCC